AAAAAGATGAGCTATCGTATGATAAGATAAGTGTATTTGTTTGTGTTAAAATAATGGCGTGATTTTTGCATATTTGAAAAAAAAATGAATTCTTTTTTTTTTTTGCTGCGCATACAATGGGATAAAACTCTTCCATCTTTTCTAATCAAAAGTGAATTTTTTTTTAATGAAAGGAATTTTTATGACGGGTAAAACATTATATTGTCAAACAATTCAAGTCGGCGGGATTTCCCTTTATACAAACAATAAGGTTCCGAATTTTTACGTCATACAACTTAACTTTCATATCAAAATATTTATAATATATGAAGTTCTACATAATGAACATCGGTTTGCCCTTAAAAGGAATCAACTTTATCCATGCGCTTAAATTTCTTTAATGCATGTCGGAAGTAATTGGTATGTCACCGGTTACATATTAATGGACTCGTGATCTCATTGGGTGGCGTGTACGTTAAACGGGCAAGCAAGATTTTTTTTTCGATATAAATCAAATAAAATATCGTTGTAATTTTTTTTCTCTTAATATTTCTCTTTTAAAAAAATTTTCAATTCATTTGAGCCAAATTTCCTGATTTATTCAACTGTTTGTTACAAATTATCTTGATTCTCTTTTGAAACACAAAAATTTCTCTTTTTTTAAAAAAAAATTTAAACCGTAAATCTTCCAACTCAAACTTTAAATCTAAAAACAAACCTTGTACACTGCACTGCGTCTTTATATTTTTCGTTATATAGTCCAAAATAAAATTACAACACAAAAAAAAAAAAAAAATGTCGTTATTCGAAACCTACGAAACGATTTCAGCTCTTGTCCCAACCAAATTTCAAAGTTTGGCGAGTTGCAAATCATCGATTAACCGATTCCGACCTCAAAGATTATTTTCGGCACTAGCGATTATACCATATTACGCTACAACAACAATTCCGACAACTATTTGCACACTTGCGATTCTTTACGTACCAATGATTTGTAAATTCGAATATCAATTATACAAGCAATTTTATTCCAATGGGTTATTAAAACCAACTGATCATTCGTTTACAGCATTCATTACATTACTAATTGGATCAATAGTATTACCTGTATTGGTGTTAGTCGGTGATATTGTATTTATGTTCGTGGTCTTATCGGCCGCCCTTGGTGCTATCGTTATGACAGTTTATGGTGGATTTGAATGTGGGGTTGAATTTTGTCATAGAATTACCATGGCTGTTCCGGAAACTTATTGGGAAATGATCTTTCCTTCAACGAGTTTGGAGGAGAAAAATACAAACTGGTACTTGAATTAGGCCGTAAAGTCACAACTGATATTTTCAACATTTTAATCATTGTAATTATAATTCATAATTTATCATTTTACAAGTAGAAAGTATTTCATGCGTGGCGCAGGTCGCATCTTCGAATTTTAGAATATCATTTATTTTAGAATATCTTTTATCTTTTTTTATACATATGAATTGTTATAGATATTATAGATATTTTACTCATAAATTCATCATTATTAGTTGTATTCTTATTATATATAATCAATTATAATTATATTGTTTCATATTAATGTATTTTCGATTCGTTAAAAAAAAATATATAAAAATAAAATTGGTATTATTATGTAAAATTGAGTGATGATGATGTCACCAAATAATTTATTATATTTATGTCATTATAAAATCAACATAAATAGTCTTTTTTTTTTTTTTTTTTGAATAACTCGTCAATTTCTTGTTCTCACGGTTTTCCCCATCCTTTTTCATTTTTCAAAACGAGTTACTCTCTATTTGTAATACGAGAGAGATATAAGATGGAAGCGAATATAACCAGTAATTCTATAAAGAAAAGATCTAAAAACGATGTTTTTATTGTTAGTCATGTATGGGAAATCATGTAGTTTTTATTTGTCTCGCGATGATCATTTCTAAAACATTGGTTCTCTTGTTTTTCTTGATAGATAAATGAAGTACCTTCAACATCTGATCAACAAGAATTTTGCGGCTTAGCTCAACAACAACAAACATCAATAAAGGAAATTCCAAAGAAAAGGACGGTTCCGGCGAAACGTAAAAAGATCACCGCCACTAACCAAATGATGGAATCCGATGAAGGATGTGACTTTAAAGAGATTAAAGAAGAAGAAAACGAGTCAACAAATTTGGGCATACACAAACTTGTAGAAACAGATGATGATGAAAGTGAAGATGTAGATGAACTGATGCCATCTCGAAAATTATCATCATCTCAAAAAAAATCATCTGCAAATAAACAAACATCGGCTAAGAAATCTTCTAATAAATCTAAGAAGTCCACTGCGCATGCTAAAAATTCTACAGTTCCTAAACTCAAAAATGCATGGCGATCGGAGGAAGACAAAATCTTGGTTGATAAAATTTTAGAAGATATGCCAAGTCCTTCTTGGTCAAAAATTTCTCATTGTTTAAAAGATAGAAATCCTAACGCTTGTTTGGTTCGTTGGAAAACATTAAAGAAAAGATTATATCAAAGCAGTCAATAACTTGTTGAAAAGATAAGGGTTTTTAAATAAGATATTTACCAATTTTGATGGGATCATATTTTTTTTTTTTTTTTTTTTAAGGAACAAAATTTTTCGTATTTACATATTCTTATCATTTCGATCAGATAAGATAATTTTATTATTATTTTTTTTTTATATATTTTTAGTTTTGAAGCTTATTTCCCCACCAATTTGATCTACTTAGAACAGAATTCAATACTTTTAAAAATTCTTTACAAATTTTATAGTAAAAAAGCATGACTGCAGAAAACGTGACTTAAATATCCAACCCAGTTTACTTTTAATTAAAATGTTTACGACAAGACCAAGAACAATTCACCTTACTATTGGCATTACGAAACCTTTGAAAATTCGTTTATTGGTTCGGGAAACTAGGAAATTTAAATGTTCTGTTTATTGAGAAATTTACGTTTTCATAATAATTTTTTGTTTTGTTCTATTATTGCATAATAACACTAATAACAATTTATGAATAAAACAAATTAAAACGTTTTTTCAAGTAAGCCACACCGCTTTTTTAAGATCTTAAGGTGTAAAATAGTGACAACGAAACGTATGGATACAATCATTCCCGTGAAGATATAAATTGATATATTGCAAAAAAGGAGGCTTATTAGTAATGAGTACTAAAAAATGATTTGTTTAATCAATATGTATCAATATTATAAATATTTTGAGACATGCAGAATTCCTGGAATCAGTATTATCCACATGATCTACCTGAGTATTATTAAATTTTCTCGGTTCAGAAATGTCGCAGTTACGATATTACAATATGTAGTAAATTTATTAAAATAATAATACAAATGCAATTCATTGTATTGTAATATAGATTTATTATAAATATTTTAAATCAATTAAATAAATAAACACCTGTAAAATTAATAAACAAAAATTTGAATTAAAAAATTTTGTTACAACACGTGCTTTTAACAAGACAAGGTAATTAGGTAATTGATAATAATTACATTAATGATTATTCCCATTACAAAAGTCTTTGATGGTGTTAGGTATCCATTACTTCCATCAGTTAAAATGGGATTACCCCCGGCATCCGTTGAAGAATTCTTACCATCCGTATCAGTTTGTGAAGGTGGAGGTGGTGGATTAAAATGAGAAACCCAACTATAAGTGTTTAGATTAAATAAAAATACTTTATCGTTTGCACTAGTTGGTAATGTTAAATTATTTGTAACGTTTCCTTTTTTTTAAAAAAAAAAAGAAAAGAAAAAATGAATTAGTAACTTTTTTTTTTTTTTTTTTTTTTTGAAAAAGTTTAAGTAAAAAATTAATACCAAATGCAACAATCATAAAATCTCCAACTATTTCGGCAGAATGATGCGAAACCGGTAGTGGTGGATTATCAATTGTTAAAGTTTGAGGAGTTTCCCAAACATATTGCTCGCCATCCACTTTCAGGAAAACTAGACTTGGATTAGGTGTTACTTGATTTAAACCCTTTGCTCCACCATATATAATTATCTTTCCCTTATCTTTGTAAAAAAAAAAATAGATATATATTTTTATTAGAAAATTTGAAAATGGTATTATAAAAAAAAAACTTACAAAGAACTGCGGAATGTCCATATCTATTATCTATCGTTATAGTAGCGTCTCCTTTTATTCCCTATATAAATAAAATCAACGTTTTAAATCTGTTGCCAAAAAAAAATAAAATAAAAAATAATAGCCTTACCTCTGTCGACCAAATGCCCGTGTTAGTATTATAAATATATGCCTGAAAAAGAAATTATGTCAATTTCAAAAGTTTCAAAGACAGAATAATTGCAATATAACGACATATAAATCAACATACTTTGCTTATATCAACATCCGCATTTAACATAGTAAGTCCTCCTAGATAAATTATGTTTCCATTTTCAAGAATGGTAGCAGAATATTGACCTCTCCATTCAGTGTTATCAGAGGTCACAGTTGACCATGATAAACTTTTAGTATCAAAAATTTCCATTCCGCCAAGATATCCAATGACACCACCTGACACATAATTGGCATTGATACCACAGAATAAATAAATTTTCCCATTGGGATCAATAACTCCTTTAGCTTGTTTCCTTCCCGGAGGTGTTGCTCCTAAAACTTCCACTTTACTCCATATTTGATTATTAATATTAAATGCATATACCAATGCATTCATTTCTAAAGTATTTGTTTTGGGATGAAACATCGTGCCTCCGACCATAAAAATTGTATTGTTGTCATTACTACCGACAACCGTTGTTGCGCCTTCGGTTTGAACCGACATTGGACTAGTAGCGGTTTGATCCACCCATAGAATGGATGATGTGTCAACTTCTTTTGTAATATCGAAATAAAACATTTCATTGCTCAAGATTTGTGATCCTTCAGTAGTAGGTGTGATTCCGCCAAAGTAATAAACCTTCCCGTCTACAACAATTGACGCATGTGAATGACGAGCTTTTGGGGTAAAAGCTACTATTTTAGTGTCAAATGAGGTGAAAAAGAAAATTATTATTAAAATAAATTTATTCATGACTATGATTGAAGATATGACGTTAAAATGAGTGGTCAAAAAATAAAAAATAAAAATTAAATAAATTTAAAGCGCTTTTTTATATTAAAAAAATCCGAATATAAATTTTTTTTTTAAAGTTTTGGCCCTTCATATGATTAATTCATTGTTTGCATTTTAAAAGTCTTTCGTGTTTCTTGGAAATTTCTAAATCGTTCCAAACAAAGCGAAACAATGATCAAAAATTGATGATGCAACATTGCTTGAAAGAAATTCTTTTTAATTTTTTTAATTCCAAATAGAAAGATCGTAAATTTTTGTATAATCATTATTTAGTCTTTTAAAATTAACATTCTTCATTTTTTTGATTAAAGCAGCAAAAAAAAAAAAAAAAAAAAAAATTGACAATGACAATGACATAATGTTAGCCAATCGTCTTGTATTACTTGCTAAATTTCATTATAATTTTTTTTTCTGAAGAAATTTCCTTTGGAATGTTCATTAAACATATAAGTTATGAGCGCTTTTTTTCTTCACATTGTAGTAAAACAAAATAGGGTCTCTTTTACCAAAAATAACCAAAAACCTATTCGGATCTAAATTAATGCGTTAATATGATGAACGGTGACGTATAACGCAAAAAAAATACTGAATTTGGAAAAGGCTTATTATTAATATCTCAAAATTAATTTTATAATATTAAAATTCGGTAATCTATATAGTTGATTTCAAGGAAATTCCCTGATTTAATTGAAACTTTAGACCAAAAAGAAAAGAAAGTTTCTTTCATTCCGAGCGTTTTGAATTAAACTTCAAGTTTAGAGCTTGGTTTATATAATAATGACTTAAGAAAATCGAACAAAATTCTGTTTCGAAAAGACAATTGTTTTTCTATTTAAACCTCCATTTTAAAATATACACCCTGTTCGCACACTGTATTTTTTTTATATGGCCCGATAGGGATACATTTTAAAGTGTATAATAAGTTAAAATATTTTTCGAAAAAAAAAAAAGGTTTCAAAGTCGTTAAATGGTGCAGAACATTTACAACTTGAGAAAATGATATCGATACACGTATCTAGCAAGTGCAGTTAAAACATTTTTTCTACTAACCTACATAGTTAAACTGTCTTTATGTAACACAAAAAAATAATTAATAAATGCCAACAAAAAAAAAAATCTCTATGTTAAATATATGATCATATTACGCTATTATATCATATGGTCGAAGTCAACAGCATCCTCGTGTGTACAGTAATTCAAATTTGGCCGATAATACTGGGCCTTTTTATACAATAAAGCTTTGCTCATTTTTACGCTTCTTAATTTCTAACCTTTCCACTTTTTCTTTTTTTACGGTAACGATTATGAATTTTACACAAAAAACTTATAAACGTCAAATTCCTATCTTTCTTTAACAAAAAAAAAAAGATATCACTTTTTTTTACAAACAAAAAACCTTGAACGTATAAAGGTAAGGTTTTAAAAGACTTATTTTCTTTCAAAAGTGGAAGCCGCGCTCCTTTCGCATACTTCGTAGAAGCCATTCTCGGAAATCTAAAAAAAGTTTTTATGAGAATAATCCCCTCTCATTCCGTAGTGGAAGCCATCCTATCTTCGATTTCTTTGTACCTTCTCTTCCTTTGGAAGTCCAACTTCTAACCTAAATTTCTTGTTTATACATTTATAATAGATATCCATGCTGTTCCAAGGCCATAATTCCGTATATTCACATCTGCCAAAAATATCCAGACACCTTGAAAAATAATTACTAAAACATACGAAAAAAGCTTTATTATTCCTAGAATATATTTCCCATACTGCTAATAAATATAAAGTTATTTAATATAGGTTTTAATAATTAATGCTAACGATAACATACATGTATGTTATGTTTCTATCAAAGACAACTTTTTAAGTTACATGCATTTATGTATCATATATGTAATTTACATCCAAAATAAAATAACATTTCTTGTTAATATATTGATAAAATAATGATTAATTTAAATTCTTTGTTCGTATGTCTTATTAATTAATTTTCGAAGTGTCCGGATACATTTTGGTGGTAAACTGGCCCTGCGGTCTTATTCTGTCTTGGAATTGTTAACAAGCTTCAGTTTGGACTTTTGGCGCCACTCAAGATATAATAAGTTGTCGATATGAAACTAGATTATACTTTGAAAATTTTTAAACATGCTTATTCAAAGTTGTTGTATTTTTTAGTGTATTATTTTTCGTTATGCTACTATCTACAACTCATAATAAAAATTTGAAATAACAACTTTTTATTTAATTGAAAATATGAAAATAATTATGAATAAAGTATATAATGATAATGAAAGGTTAGCTTTGCTTAAAAGTATAGCTGACTAAACAATTGATTATTATTGAAGCTGTTCAGTGGAATATACCACTTAACTTTCAATTTTTGTTGTAATTCTCATCATAATGAAAATAAAAAAAATGCTAGTCGTTGTTTCATTATAATGCTCAACTCACGTATTTCATTTACAGCCAGGAAATATGAGCTATGTATTATGATTTACTTTCAACAATCTTAGAAAGATTTGGTCATGTCGCAGTGAAATTCATGTTGTTTGTTCAATCAAAATACTGTATTCATAGGTGAAGTGATTTAAGAAATAATATACCAGAAGCAACAACGTCACTACACGTTTCCTTTGAAGCTGATATTCAATACATCATCTTTTACAGAATCGTTAGAATTTAAAAGAATCAAAATATCTTGCGCCAATGTAATGATGTAAGCTTTAAAGACAACAAATATCTTTATAGAATAAATCGTATACGACGACAACCATCGATCACCGAATGCTGAATATAGAAACCGACAACTTATAGCCGACAACTAATTCAATCGAAACCAATTTGCCGACTGCGCCATCTAACTGAAACTTGCACCAATCGAAGCACTTAACT